TTTTTTTTTTTTTTTTGCGGTACGTGGGCCTCTCACTGTTGTGGCCTGTCCCATTGCGGAGCACAGGCTCTGGACGCACGGGCTCAGCGGCCACAGCTCACTGGCCCAGCCGCTCCGCGGCATGTGGGATCTTCCCAGACCGGGGCACGAACCCGTGTCCCTTGCATCTTCTTAAGACAAGTGTATGAAACAACCAGTTTCTTTTCACATCACAGAATGCCATGCTACACTAACTGTCATCTTTTCCTAAGAAATTTAAGGTGTTTTCAAATATTGACTTTTATAGTGTTGGGATTTAAACTTTAATATTTGTAAAGTCTCTAAATTAGAGGTTTTTAGACTATGTTATGTTAAGGGTTTCCAGACTTTGTTCTGAGTTGCAAGTTCATTATTGTATTTCATTAAATATAATTGATTTCTAAGACTGTTACTGTAACATCTGTTTTGGGTCGAGAAGAAAGTGCATGGACATTGTTTACTTTCCTTAAAGATAAAAAAATAGTATGTTTTATAAACTGAAAGAAAAGAGCCTTCTGAAATAGGGACCAAATCAGGGAGAATTTTTACATAGGAAAACAGCAGAATTTCAGTCTCAGTGTGAGGGTTCTTAAGTGTAGAATAATAGGAAAGACCACCAGGGTTCCCTCTTGTTAGTTGTTTACAGTTGTGTATTGTGTTCTTAGGGCGATTCCAGGCTGCTGATCGCTCAGAGTTGATAAAGACCACAGAAAAGATAGACGTGTCGATGGACATGAAGCCTTCCTGGACCACCAGAGATGTTGCACTGTCAGTGAACCGGGCTTTCAGGTGGCTGATTTTGTTGGACTTCTCTTAAAACAAATGTTCCATAATTTTTTTAAAAAAGTGCTGATTGTTCAATACTATTAACAAAATTGACAGCTTAAAATGGTGGTGGGTATAGTTTTTAAACATTCAGTTAGAGTTAAATGATCTGCCTATCAGTGTGGTAAAAAGAAAAACTTGTTTTTACTTTTTGTGAAATGTTGAATTTTATTCTTATATGTGAAGAGACTTGAAGAATGTTTTAGCTTTTTACTTTTGTCATTCATGTATAATAATGAAACCCTTTTCCATTCAGGATGATTGGTCTCTTTTCTCATGGCTTCTTGGCTGGCTGTGCTGTGTGGAATATTGTTGTGATATATGTTTTAGCAGGAGACGAGCTTTCTAACCTCTCAAACCTTCTGCAACAATACAAGACGTTAGCATATCCATTCCAGAGTCTTCTCTACTTGCTTTTGGCTCTAAGTACAGTTTCAGCTTTTGACAGGTAAGACTCTTGAGACTGCAGATCCCTCTAACTTTTCTTCAAGAGGAAGTGTTGAGCAAAATGTGTCCCTGACTGACTGACATTTTCAAAATAGAATTATATTAATATTATTATTAATATTATATTAATAGTTTAATTATTAATTAATTAATTAAATAAAATTAATTAAACAATTAATTATTAATTAATTATATTATTATTAATTAATATTATAATATTAATATTATTTTGACTTTTTAAAAAAGCCATTCTGTTTCTGGTTTTTTTTGGGGGGTGGGGGATGGGACTACTGTGAGCAAAAATATCCCCCAAAGTCTTAACCCATTCCAGCATCAACTCTAAGCCCAAAATTTCATACAAATATAATCAGCTCAGAAAGTCCCAAACATCTTCCAGATGACCTGAATCAGGTATAGACAAAACTCTGGGTATTTTATTAGTTTCCTAGGGCTGCTGTAACAAAGTACTACGAGTTGGGTGGCTTGAAACAGGAATTTATTTTCTCAGTTCTGGAATGCAGAAGTCTAAAATCAAGGTGTGGGCAAGGTTGGTTCCGTTTTGGAGGGCTCCAAGGAGAGTCTGTTCCTGCCTCTTTCCTAGCTTCCAGAGGTTTCTGGCAGTCCTTGGTGTTCCTTGGCTTGTAGATGGATGCATCACTCCAACCTCTCCTTCTGTTGTCACATGACAGTCTAGTCTCTTCTGTGTGTGTCTTCTCTTCTTGTAAGGACACTAGTCATATTGGATTAGGGCCCATTGTAATGGCCTCATCTTAAGTTGATCGCATCTGCAAAGGCTCTATTTCCAAATAAGGTCACGTTCATAGGTACCAGAGTTTAGAAGTTCAATATATCTTTTTGGGAACACAATTCAACCCATTAAGAAAAACAACGTGTAACCCAATAATATGGGTAATAGAAAGAGGTATAATAGAATCTAATGGAATTTGCCAATCAAGTTTAATTTATTTCTTCTTAACTCTAAAGGAATGATGACTAAAATAGTCTTCTAGTTAAATGTTTTATGTTGCCTTTGTAAATAAGATATCCTTTCATGTGTGTTAAGTATAAACTGTAGCTACTTAAAGCTTAGTAATAGACAACACATGTGGTAGCATTAAAATAGAGAAGGAAGAAACTATTGTCCAGAGAGTACAGTTTTGTAAGATGTTTACAGCTGCACTGTGACAAGAGGCTTTTGTATTTTCTAGGATTGACTTTGCTAAAACATCAGTAGCCATCCGAAATTTTCTTGCCCTGGATCCAACAGCTTTAGCATCTTTCTGTGAGTAAATAGTTTAATTTGATAACTCTGTAACTTTGAACCAGAAAGAGTATAATTTTATTTTAAAACAGACTTTATATTATTGCTACTTATAAACATTACATATAGATATTCAGCGGAATTTGTAATTAAAAAACCATGGTAGGCATAATTTTGATAGAATTATTTTTTAATAGAGGTTATCTAAATAACTTTTAAAAGCTTGTTATTCTGTATTGCTTAATATTTAACTTTTGTGTTTTCTACTTAACATTAAACAGATTGAGCTGATAGGGCATTTTAGTAACAAATACTATTTTATATCTTTTTGATAATTTGGAATAAATTTTGTTCTAATTATGAGAATATTAATAAAACTAATTTTAGGACCTTGAGTAAGTCATTTAATTTCTTAAAAGATCTTCTAGGTTCTTGTCAGCCTAATGATGAAATAGTAAGCATCAAAACACCCTTCTCTACCTATATTCTTGAAAAATAATGTAAGACTATCCAGCCTATTGAAATTGACTAAGTGAAATTTTTTTTGTATCATCATTCCCCAAAGTACAGATTATTTTTGATCTTAAAGTAATCTATAAGTTAAAAATAATTAATTTTAATTAATTTTATTAATTAATTAAAAATAATTGTTAAAAATACATTATTAGTAATTCATTTGTCTTTTTCTCAGTGTACTTTACTGCTCTTATATTATCTCTGAGTCAACAAATGACAAGTGACAGAATCCACCTTTACACACCTTCTTCTGTTAATGGTAGCCTCTGGTAAGAATTCACAGTAGCATTAGTAATTGTTGATTGTAATAACAGCAACGATGGGAGTAATGGTGCTATTCTTATCCTTTCACTCTTTTACTTGTTTTCATCTATAAATAATATTGAGGGCCCTGTTTTATTACCAAAATTATGGCCAAAAAAAACCCTATTCAATTGGTTAATGGGTAACTATTGTTGTATACTCCTGCATTTCTAATGAAATGTTTTGTAAAAAAATCTGTTTTAAATCTCTGAAGTGATGGTTTTAAAATAAATCATTACATGGTGAACTGGGGGAGCACCACATCCTCACCCCCAATCAGGGAGCCTGATACCGCAGAGTAGTGATGGGAGTGGGTACCTTGGGATAGAATCAGGAAACCAAGCAAGAAAGAGGAAACCACCAAGAAAGAGAGTGAACTAGGGAGAGTCTGCTTCCGCCGATCAGTGGCCAGCCATGAGAGTGACAGGATGGCTGAGATCCCACTTCACAAAACTTAGAGGGGCAGTCTTGTTTGAAGAGAGTGGCTAGGGGCTTGAGGTTAAGAGAGAAAGGAATGATTGAAGAGTAGCACTAACAGTAGTTGGAAGGGAAACTTAGAAAAATTCTTTGGCAACAGTAAATTTCCATTACATCTGTGTACAAAGTAAATCTGTTTAGAATTCAATAACATTTGAACCTTTGTTCTCAAGATATATATCGTGTTATTTTATAGGGAAGTTATAGTTTATGCTTGTTATTCCTCTGGGTGAGGACTGCTCATTTTGTTTAAAGTTTATAAAATAGATATATCTGGATATATGGACCAAAATGAAGACATTTCTGATGAGTATTTCTGTACCTTTAGGGCAGAAGGAGTTGAGGAACAGGTTCTCCAGCCATGGATTGTGGTGAATCTGGTGGTGGCCCTTCTGGTTGGATTATCTTGGCTTTTTTTGTCTTATAGGCCAGGCATGGATCTTAGTGAAGGTATGTATTAAAGAAAAAATAGTATATCATAAAATCTTCTGTAATGACTTTATAAATCTTCTTTTAATGGATATAGCTTACAATGTTTCAATAACAAAGATATATTTAAAGTAAAATAACTTAAGAAGAATAATAATAAAGTGGTGAAACAGAATGCCACGAGAAGCAGGGAGGAGTGTGTAGGAGAGCTGTAGTCTTGAAGTATCGAATACTTCATGAGGGGCTTCTGTGGTGCTGTCTCATACTTTGGAGGCATTTCTTCTCTTGGAACGCTTCAGGTATTTTATAGGAAGTTTTTGCTCTTCGTTTCTCTTAGTCTTTTTCTGATCAAAGTATCTCTTAATGTGAAATAAATCATGCTTCATCTATTAGCCTCTGTTAGACACATATTCAAGTGAATTTATTCTTACCTCCTCCTCTACCTGCCACAAAATCTTAACCCCTCGTTGTCTAATGAAGTGTTTAGTAATCCTACCTTCAGTGTGCCCAGGCTGAAGTGAGATTTGCTAATCTCTATCCTCAGACCCCTCTTGGAACACCTGAAGAAGAGTCACATTAGCAAACTGTTAGTCTTCTCAGCACTGCTTTGGGAACTGCTTAGTATTTGTATTGTAAGTTGTATTTCCTGGCAGATGTTCCACAATTTCACCCTTGAATCTCTTTGATATTTTCTGGACTTTGGTTATTATTTTATTCTTGATTGGTTAAACATCCTGAGCATTTAACTGCAGTTTGACCAACTGATTATAGCCTATGTCTCAGAAGTCTTGGAACTGAGAATCTTTTCAACATTTCCATTTGTAAAAACCAAGACAAAAAATGTGATCTTCTTGTGTATTTTCATTCATAAATGTACCTTTGCTCATGTTGTTCACTAATTATTCCTTTGGATATATTTAAAGTATTAAAAGAAATCTTCTTAGGCTTTAAGTATTTTGCTGTTTTTCTTTCACTCAGTATAGTTTTTAGTCATTCAAAGATTTTTTCATCTAATGCTTACATCAGACGACTTCATTTTGTTAATTCCTAAGGTTTTCTTCTTTTGTATTTCCTGATATTTTAATAAATTATGTGTCTATGCTAAGTAATAGTTTAAATGTAGAAATGTCAACTAATAACATTCTGCACTGTGGTTGGGATTAAAGCTGCATGCAGCTGGCTTGTGTAGTATTCAGTCTAAATCACAAAGTGTGTGTTACTTATTAAATATTTCCAGAATCCTGCTTTTAGGGTCATGTGAGTCAAATAACATTTCCATGTGGATAAAAAAAGGAAATATAAAATGAGGATGATAATACTCGCTTAAAGAGTTGTTATGGTGATTAAATAGGGTAACATATTTAAGATATCCTGGCACACACCTCATCTTAGTTCCAGGTCCTCCACTGCATCTGTGTCCTACATTTTAGGTTATCATGATCACTATAGAATTAGACCTCTTAGATGTCTAATGATCCTGGATTCTCTAAGTGACTTAAATTTCCTGGTAAGAGTTATTATACTGTCTCTATTATATTATATGTTTTATTTTTCAAGGGTTTATAATACATTCAAAACTTGTATATCTCAAAATGCAAAACGTGTACATTTGTCATTAGTTCACCTTTTAAATCAGATTTCACAATCAAGAATTCTTACTTGTACTTGAGGGCTTTCTATTATCATATAATATGTCAATATTTAAAGACTGTTTATAACTAAGCTATAAAACTCTTTTTGAGATACTGGGAAATCATTTTGAGTGTGATTTGTTCATCTTCTCTCCCAGAGTTGATGTTCTCCTCTGATGTGGAAGAATATCCTGATAAAGATAGAGGAATCAAAGCCTCTTCATAGTGCCAACTCACCTTCAGAGTAATTACCTAGTATTTAGAATTTTTCCCATTCTTGTTTTTAAATGTATTTTTATAAGATATTTACAGATGTATTTGGAATTGATTTTTCGATTATATAATACTGAAGAATTTCTCAGGATTATGGAAAATGTTAAAATTGTATCTGTGATTTATACTCAACCATTAATTTCCATAGCATTATTGTCTTTATGACAAAGGAGATGCTGAGGTAGAAACCAGCAGGTGAAAGTGTTTATTTCCTGTTTTCTCAAATTAGTTGCATTTATAATCATTATCTTTAAAAGTACTGTATACAGTGCTTTTAAAAAAGCCATAACTTTAGTGTTACAAAATAGGTTTAAACATTAATTTAGGGAATAGGGAAGAAGGGGGGAAAAAGGACCTTCATTATTTTTCATGACTCCTTACTGAATAAATTGAAATATGAAATTTGGTTTTTTTTGAAACTGGTTCAGTGGTTGTGTATCATGTAATAAGTCTAATGTAATGTAATTTAGCTTGAAAGATGCTTTATTTCATGGCTAATAAAAAGGAAATGTAACTTTTATTTGAAAAGTTTTATAATCGTAAAAGTTTATTTTTCTTGAAGACCTGTACCAGTAGTTCCCGTATCTGGTTGCACATCAGAATCATTTAGGGAGCTTTAAAAAAACATATATTGCAGAAGAGAAGCCAAGTGGGCCAAGAGCTCAGGAGAACAAAGGAGAGGCCTGCGAACCTATTAATACTCACTTGACCTCTGCAGACCCCTTCCCCTGCTTCTTTTTTACATGACAAGAAGTATGAGTAGGAATTCACTATACCTAATCTCAAGCTCTTTGTCAGAGAGATCTTTGGCTGTCACGGAAATCCCACTCTTCAGGTGGGTCCTGCACTCAAAGAGGTCTCTTCAGAGCTGTATCCAGTGATGCCTCAACTGGTATGAGACCTAGAGCTCAAGACATTAAGGCTCACTGTGAGAAAAGGTGTCTCAGAAGCTCTTGAGCACCTCAGTAAAACTGGGCCTGCCCTGTTAGCAAGCCACTGAATGCTGTGGAGCAGAAGAGGAGTGACAAATTGATGATGGAGTTGGCTGGCTCTGAGCACAGGTCTAAATTTGGTACGCACACCATACTAGGAATATCTTGCTGTTTGTAAGGCCAGAGCTGCTGAAAAGGGAATTCCCTTTCTGTCACAGAATTGTGAATCCACTGACAATCCTGAAGTCATCCTGCCTGTTCCAGCTTTCACTGTGATCAGCAATGCTTTTCATGTTGGCATCAAGCTGGCAGTGCAGGAGTTCATGATCCTCCCTGCCAGCAAACTTCAGGGAAGCCACGCTCATTAGAGCTGAAGCTTACCACACCTGAACAATGTCGTCAAGGAGAAACATGAAAGAACCAATGTGGGGGATTTTGGTGAGCTGAATATTGTCCCCCAAAGATGTCCATGTCCCAATCCGTGGAATCTGGTGGAGCTGTACAAATTTTTCATCAAGGAAAACACAGTGGTATCTATCAAAAAACTTTTGGCCATGATGATTGAGAAACTTGGAGGAAGTTCGTTGCTAATGTATGTCTCCATGATTGGCTCAAAATCATAATTTTTCTCACCTTTCTCCATACATCACATGTTGGGTAGAGTGGTATACTTAGTAGAGTTCCTGAGGTGTCAAAAAGCAAGATCCCCAGTGGGGTTTTTGTCATTGTTTTTTGGGTGCAAAATATTCGGTAATTAATACCTGCCTCTCCCCACTCCCCGCAGGCAGAACAAAATATACATAGGCTTCTATGCTCCATTCCCAGAGATTCAGATTCATTGGGTCTGAGATGGTACCTGGAACACTGTCTTTTAGAAAAAGGTATGCCAAGTGGTTGTGATATAGCCAGTAGACTAGCCAGCATTTGGGATCTCTGGCCTACGTGTACCATTTGTAATTTATTATGAAACAAAGCTTGGATTGCAATAGATGACTTGATTTGATCTTGATCAAATTGCTAGGTTTGTGAGAGGACAAAAAAAAGAAAGAAAATGAATAAAACATGGTACCTGTCTTTTAGTGACTCATAATCTAGTCAAAAGACAGAGATAGGCATAGGAGTTGAAGAATCTAGGGAAGTATTTCAGGTAAGGGGTATGTGCAGGTCCTTTATAGGATGGATAGGATTTCTACTGGTGGAAGTGGAGACAAAGAAAAGGCTATACACGTGAGTGAGCTCTGAGGGATTTTTATTTGGAAACTATCAAATGTAAAATTGTTGAAAGACTAATGTAATAGCAACTATAATCTATATCAACTTAGATTATTGTTAAATTTTTGCCTCATTTGCTTTCTTTCTTTATACATCCTTTCTCTTGGTAAATCTTTTGAAAGTAAGTTGCTAACATCATGTCACTTCACCCAAATATTTAAGCATGCATCCTCCAAAAAGAACATTTTTCTGCATAGCACAATATCATTCAAACAGTTGGAAAAACAATAATTTCAGTCCATTCTCAAATTTTCCCAGATGTCTCTTAAGATCTAGTCATGGTTTACGCATTTCAGTTTGTTATCTAAATTTAAAATGGTCTCATCTTTTCTCCCCCATGATATATATATATATATATATTTTTTTAGATGTTGGGGGTAGGAGTTTATTAATTTATTTTATTTATTTTTGCTGTGTTGGGTCTTCGTTTCTGTGTGAGGGCTTTCTCTAGTTGTGGCAAGCGGGGGCCACTCTTCATCGCGGTGCACGGGCCTCTCACTGTCACGGCCTCTCTTGTTGCGGAGCACAGGCTTCAGTAGTTGTGGCTCACGGGCCTAGTTGCTCCGCGGCAGACCAGGGCTCGAACTCATGTCCCCTGCATTAGCAGGCAGATTCTTAACCACTGCGCCACCAGGGAAGCCCCCCCATGATATTTTTTAATTGAAAAATTTACTGAGATAAATGTAGATTCATGCAAACTTAAATAATACAGAGTAATCCTTTGTACACTTGGCCAGTGCCTCCAAATACCATTTTACAAAATTCATAGTATAATATCACAACCAGCATATTGACACTGACATGATCTACCAATCTTGTACAGATATCCCTAGTTTTACATATCCCTAGTTTTACTTGTACACACTTGTGTGTGTCTGTATATATTAAGTTCTATACAATTTTATCAATTGTGTAGGGTTCATTTATATAGCACCACAGCCCAGGTACTGAACAAGTCCAAAAACCATAAGAATCTCTCATGCTGCCCTTTTATAAACACAACCTCCTTCCCACATCCCCTCCCTGCACCTCTAACTCTAAGCCCTGGCAATCACTAATGTCTTCTATTTCTAAAATTTTGTAATTTCAGTAATGTTATAAGTTGAATCGTACAGTGTGTAATCTTTTGGGATTAGCTTCTTTCTGCTCAGCGCATTCCCTGGAGATTAACCCACGTTGTATGGCCATAGTTCATTCCTTTTTATTGCAAAGCCATGATCCAAGGTATGTATTGAAGTTTAACCACTTACCTGTCAAAGGACATCTGAGCTGATTCCACTTTTTGACTATTATGAACAAAGCTGCTGTGAACATTTGTGTATAGCTTTTTGAGTGAATGTGAGTTTTCATTTCTCTGGGATAGACACCCTGGAGTGCAATTGCTGGGTTGTATGGTAGTTCCATGCTTAGTTTTTTTAAGAAATTACCAAACTCTTTTCAGAGAGGCCATACCATTCTACGTTCCCCCGTGATATTTTGTGTGTGTGTGTGTGTGTGTGTGTGTGTGTACGAAGAATCCAAACCAGTTTTTAAAAATAGTCCCACCTACATTTTTATTTGTTTGATTTTTTTTACCCGTAAAAGTATCATTGAGTTTGTTTCTCTACCTCCTGAATTTCCTGTAGACTGGAGGTTAGGGCTAGAGGTTTGATTAAAGTTAGGTTAGATTTTTGTTGTTGCATCACATGAACCCTAAGGAAGTCAGAGTGTGCTGGTGGACAGCAAGTCTCTTTGAACAGTGATTAAACACGACACAGCACAGACTCAGAATGACAGCAAACATGTATCAAGGGCATTGGGGTATTGTGCCATGAACCCTGAAGAGTGAAAGGTGAGGATCAGATTCCTGCCCCCAAAGAACTCTATCTTTTGAAATTAACAACTAATTCTAATAGTGTGAGCCCACTAATAGGGATATGCCAAGTAGCAGCTTGGAGACAGCAATTAATTCTGCTTTGGGGGTATGTGTATGGGGTTATAAAACTTAAGGCTGAACTCTGAGGTGGCCTTTGAATAAAAGAAAAATAGATTCCATATAGAATGGCCATAAGTAATGATCCTGAGGTGTAAAGGGCATTTTGGAGTCCCTGGTTTTACATATTATGGAATTAAAATTTTGTGGCCAATAAAGAAACTCTGGAAGTTTGTGTGCTTTACAAGGTAAGCTGTATTAGCACTGAAGCAGTGGAAAGAGTGGATGACAGCAGGCCAGGAGACCCATGAGTAAACCATTCCAGGCATCTGTGTGTGAGATGTCCTAGACGAGGTGCCACAGAGAGAAAGAGTAGGGTTCAGATATTTAGGGTTAGAATTCAAAACTGTGTCTGAAGTTTTAAGCTTTTGTGGATATGACATTGCTACATTAACTACGTTTGGAACATATTAGAGGTCTGAGAGGGAAGATGAATATTAACGTGTTGTGTTATGAGTCTATGGGACAGTCGAGTAAAGATGTCCACGTAGACTGTTGTAAATATAACATCTGGAGCGCAGGGGATAGTGTAAGGAGGTGTAGGGAGAAGAGGGCTTATGATGGGTTAAGGGGCAGGCAAGAAACGAACCAAGTTCAATCCCCGTGCTGAGGAGCCTTGTTGTCCACAAGCTTGCTCTGACTTCCTTCAAAGGGAGACTTAAACGGCCTGGGCAAGGACTTGCCGCTGACCCTGCAGGCTCGCTTAACTAGCACGCCCCCAAAGCTAGCCTGGGGCAGAAGCCTGGCGCGAACGTGTGGGTCACGCGGGGCGCCGGTGGGTTGCTGCGTGCACAGGAAAAGCGTGGGAAAGGCGGGGGGAGGGCTGCGCCTGCGCAGTAGCAGGTCGTCAGTTGGTTAGTGCGCAGACCTGCCCAGCTGCGGATGGAGGGATGGAGCCGCCCCGAGACGTGCGCAAGGTTTCCAGCACAGCACATAACCGCAGCGGGCGGGTCCATTCCCTGTACACAGCCCCGATACTTCAGAGGATTCCCCGTATCAACTTGGAAAACACACATGCTAGAGGGTCGGAGTTCTCTTCTGCAACCCGTAACATCCAGGAGCAGGGCAAGACCTTGAATCGGCCCAAAGACGAGGCCAAGGATGGTCCTGGGCACCGGCTGCTGAATGTAAGTGGGGGGCCTGGTGGAGGAGTTTGTCCCCTACCAGACCACCTAGAGGGTTGGGAAGGACCAAGGGGTCAATGCGTGCTGATGGGAGGGAGGGAAACATGCGCTCGTTTTGGAGAGCGGTAACACCTGAGGAAAAGTTTACTTGTGGGACCCTGACAGTTATTTAATTGGTCAGAGCCCCGTTTTATTAATTGTTAAGTGAAGACAGTAATTACTACCTACCTTAGAGGGTTGTCTGAAAAACTAAAGGAGGTAGTGATATGAAGGACTTAATACAGTCCAAAGTAAAGAGTTAATAAATGTTAGCTGCTGTCATCATCATCATTATCATCATTGGGAATTCATTTGTATGGTTGAAGGGCTAAACTCCAGAAACCTTAGTTACCTCTGTTTTCAATTCCTGAGGTTCTTACAGATAAACCTGTAGGAGCAAAACTCTATCATATCTGCAAAGTGATTTATTGGCTTCCTGTTCTTAATTAGGTAAATTTGTTTTTGAAGTGTGTGAAACTCTTGAGTTTAATTACCATTTAGTGGTACTGCCAGAGCATAGAGGAAACGGAAAAGAGGAATCAAGTTGAAACTCACTTTTTCAAAGTTTGTTAGAGCATTATTAGGAAATTTTACATTCTCTGTTGGTCTTAAGTTATTAAAAAATAGTACAGTATTTATCAGGAAACAAATGGTACACAAGAAGGTGATGTACTTTTCTATAAATTTAAGGAGTTGAATTACTTGATGTGTGAAGTACCATCTTAATTCTAAAAACTTAGAATCTTGACTCACTGTTATGATAAATTGAGAGCATATTAAGGTTTAGCTTTAGGATAATACAAGAAAAAATTGCAGAGTTTGTGTTAAGAGAAGTATGTTTGGAAATCTAGGCCATAGGAGGTGCTTGTTGTATGTCCTCTTAAGGAATTTGGACTTTTATTCTGTAGAATGGTGGTTTCCAATTTTTATGAGTATGAGGGTACCTTTTTGTTGTTTAAAAAAAGAAATCTCTCCACAATAAAAGTAGCTGGCTCTTTAGTATCTGCTGACTGGGAAAATCTATAATGATAAAAAAGCTACCATGTGGCAGTGTTGTTGATGGAATTTGCTAATAGATAAAACAGCATCTACATACATTCAAAAAAGAGTAGGGCACATATATGCAAGGTACATTGTTTACCCGAGTTTGGTTTCCCAAATTATTTGACCATAGAATATTTTAACATTTTGGTAGAACAGCAAAAAGAATTTAGGAAATTAAATGTGCACTTGGATTTAGTTATAATGATCTCATAAATGAATTCTTTTCAGATACAGATCCAGAGGAATGAGTTTACGTGACGTAGATGTTTATTATACAGTAAACTTAGAGTAATATGATAACTATATGCTATTTAAATTATTATAACAACTACTATAAGATATATGATGTAGATCGTTGAACATGGAATGGATGACCCTCTTCAATTTAGTAAATGCTGTCTATGCATCAGTACACCACAGATGGAACTTATATATTTGGCAAAAGGTCGTCTTTTCTATGACTTCTTGGCGTGTGTGTGTGTGTGTGTGTGTGTATGTATGGCACATGATTTCTTGAAAGCGGATTATCATAGGGTAATAAGAACAGCTATATAAATATGTCTGGTATTTTCTGTACAAAATGTTTAGTAATTTCTGTACAAGTTTTTTAAAACTTGGAAACAAATACATCTCTCAGAGATGTCTCACATCTCTCAGTATATTTGGAAAACAGTAATTTGTAGATAGTGCTTAGAACACATTTGATTTCAAGTATATTCAAAGTTGAGAACCACTGCTACAGGTGATAGGAAACGGTTGGTTTTAAGCAGGGGGATGACATGGATCAGATGTACTTTGCTGAAAAAATAGTTTTGGCTATCAGGATTTAAGGTGAGATTACAGACGTAGTGGGGAGCGAGGCCAATAAAGTAAGATCTCTGAAGGGATGGAAAAGTATGGGCTCTAGAGTACAGGTGGAGGTGTTCTCCAGGGATAGGAAGAAGGGCATCTCTTCATCCAGAGCGGTGTTTATCTTTGGATCACCGGTGTCCAAACTTTCTGGGGGTGCTTGTTATAACCTAGATTCCTGGACCTCCACCTTAGACCTACTGAATCTAGAAGAGTGGGGGCCTGGGAATATGCTCAGATTTTAAACTATCCCAAGTGATGCTTAGATTCATGCTTGAGAATTACTGCAGATAGAGGAAAAGGCTAGGCATTGATGTGGGGATTATACACTGAGGATGTAGGCTGCAGAAGGAGGCAAGTGGAGCTAGAAGAGTTTATAAACTGGGTGAAAGAGAAAGGAGGTCTCAATGAGATTTTTAAAAGGTTATCAAATGTAAATTACTGAGAGAACTGGAAGGATTAGCTAGAGATAGTGCTCAGATCAAGGGATATTGTAGTTGATGACTTTAGTGAAAATGTGGATAATCTATCCCTCACCTTGACATCAGTTCTTTGAATGGCCTTAATTCCTTTCAGCAGCTTACTGCAATTCTACATCTTGGACCTTGCCTTCACTCTGAGTTTCACCTCCCAAATCCTGAAATCTGTTATGTTATTTCCCAATCTCTCATTATTTACTTTGAAATATGTATCAAGCTTTGTGCTAGACACTGAGGATACAACGGTGATCAAGACAGGCAAAGCACCTTCCCTTGGAAGCTAACATTTGAATCGTAGAGACAGTTACAGATTAGGCTGTTGTTCTAAGGAAATAAAAGGGCACTATGATAGAGAATCATTGTGGAGGGACAGATAGGACTTTGGATAGGCGATCAGAGAAGGCCTCTGAGGAGGTGGCTTTTAAGTGAAAACCTGAAAATGAGAAGAAGCTAGCCATTTAAAGAGTGGGGAGATGGAGGCGGAGAGCATACGAATAAACAAGTGTGAAGTTTCTATAGCTTGGACTGTTCATGGAGCATAGTGAATGAGAGGGAGAGTAGCATGAAATGAGGCCATAACATATCTTTTTGTATGTTTAAAGTCCCTTTTAAAATCTTTTTTTTTTTTTTTGGTGAATTGCCCGTTTGAGTCATTTTCCTATCATTTTTCTTTTCCCCCTCAGTTTTTCAAAAGTTCTTTATTGGGGATATTAGATCTGCATCTGTGATATGTGTTACAAATATTTTCTCACAATTCAACAGTTGTCTTTTGACTTTTATGGTACTTTTTGCTATGCAAAAGATTCTTAATTTTATGAGGTCAAGTTTATAATCTTTTATTGCATCTGAATTTTGTGTCTTAGTTAAAAACTATTTACATATGCCCAGGTCATGAAGGAATTTACCTATTTTGCCTTCTTGTACTTGCGTATCATTTTTACATTTAGATTCCTGATTTATTTGGACTGTGTGGTATGAGGTCTGGATTTAATTTTTTTTCTTTTCCCAAATAGATGTCTCAACACCATCTATTTTTTAAAAAATCCATCTTTGCCCCAGTGTTTTGAGATGCCACCTGTATACATAAGTTTTATACATAAGCTACCACATGTATTTGGTTTTTTCTGGACTTCCTATTCTATTCCATTGCTGTTTATCAGTTCATGTACCAAGACCATACTACTTTTTTAAGCAAAGATATTGACTTTGTTGCAAGAATCTTTAACATGCTAAATGCCCTATGAATATTGAAGAAGGGAATATGGAATACAGCATTTCCCAAAGTCAGTCATTTTTAGAAAGCATTTCAAGTATTTCATGAATACACCTTGGGAAAAGTACTGAAGACCATACTATTTTATTTTAAAGACTTACAGTGTGTTTTAATGTCTGGTAAGACTGGTTCCCCACCCCTCCCCCTGCCCTTGTAGATTTCTTTTCCAATGATTTCCTGACTATTCTCACTTTTTTTTTTTTTTTTTTTTTT